GGCACACAACCACCACCATCACCAGTGGTTGCTAACATTGGTACAGTTATCATTGTATTGTCATAAGTGACTGGGGTGGGTGGAGAGAGAAACCAGTGGGAGATTCCGGGAACTACAAGGCATGGATATTTGGCAGGAACATCTTTGAGCATATTGAAATCATCAGGATTTAACCAGAGTGGTGTTAGAGACAGACTCTGGAACACAATTTTCTGAATGATTGAGGAGGAACAGGGTCTTGCTACAACGAAGGGTATAATATGATGACATGGGATCAAAGCTGGAAAACGATGTGAAGCAGTAATGAAGAGCAAAGGACATACCAGTTCTAGTGATACAAAGAGTGAATAGTTACCGTCTTTAAAAGTTTATTCTTAGCTGTTTTATCTCTTTTTTTGCTATCATAAATGGGATCTTTTGCTATATCCTCTGCAACTTGTATGTAGAGGGCTATTGATTACTGTGATTAATTTATATCATTATTGAATTATTATTTAGTAATCATCTTGGATTTTTCATACATATAATGATAGCATGGAGTCCTGATGTGGCGTTGTAGGATAAGCACTGGACTGCAAGGTTGGTTTGAGCCAAAAGGTCCTAGAAACACCATACAGGGTCCCTATGAGTCAGAACCAACTCAATAATATTTAACAACAACAACAATGATTGCATCTGCAAATTTGTTTAATCCTTTCTTATTTTTATACTTCTGCTTTTTTTCTCCTGCTTAATTGTATTGGTTAGTACCTCTGTTAGGAGTGCTGTGGCTTTGTAGGATAAAGACTGGACTGCTAACCACAAGGTTGGTGGTTCAAGCCCACCAGCCCTTCTGTGGAAGACAGATGAGGCTTTCTGCTCTTTAATGATTCATAGCCTTTGAAACCCTTCACAGGGTTCTTGTGAGTTAGAACTGACTTGATGGCAACTAATAACAACAACAAAGTGCCTCTTAGGATTAGAGTTTCTTAGCGTGTTAAGAAGTTGTATAATACTGGACACTCTTGCCTGTGTCCTGACTTAGTGGGTATGCTTTTATGGTTTACCTGCTAAGCATGTTGCTGGATTTAAAGCTGATGTATGAGGTATGTGTGCATGCATATATACATTTGTGTGTTGTCTTTGAATCCTACTTTGAATTTATAAAATTATCTAAAATGGTAGACAATTGCAGATGATCATGTGATTTGGCTGTTTAGGTCTAGTAATATGGTTTTCATATTAATATATTATAATATTGAACCATTGTTGCAGTAATAGAATTGTTGCGAAGTGCTGTTGCGTCATTTTTGACCCCTAACAACCCTTTATAGGGTTTCCAAGGAGCAACTGGTGAGTTTGAACCTAGTTATTTGGTAAAACTACCAGCATGCATTGTCCTAATTTCTCCTAATTCTAGTCAGAATTTATCACTTGTGCTAAGTGTAGGATACCTGTCCCTGTTGCCTCCTATGGACTTTTCAGGACTTCTACAAGTGAAACCTTGGGAGTCAAACTCAGAGTTAACATTGTTCCATTATTAGGACTTTAAAAAAACAAAATAAATATAAATAGTAATTTATTCTTTGTTTTTTTCTTATGCTTCACACAGTGAATATGAATACTGGTCACAAGCTTCTCAATTCATGCATTTGGCTGTTTATAGTCAACAACTAAGTTTAATTTTTCCCCTTGTCATGAGTTTAGATCTTTCTAAGGCTTTTAAATAGTCACTTGTGGTTCTCCAAGAAATAGCAATGACTTCATGGCTTCTTTCTTACCTCTCAAGGAAGGTAGGATTTCTGATGTTTTAGTTTGTCTATTTATAGGAACTCTGGTAGCATAGTGGTTACGAATTGGGCTGCGGACCGCAAGGTCAGCAGTTCGAAACTACCAGCTGCTCCGCGGGAGAAAGATGAGGCTTTCTGCTCCCATAAAGATTTACAGCCTCGGAAACCCTGTTCAGGGTCGCTATGGGTCAGAACTGACTCGACGGCACTTAACAACAACAACATACTGATTTATGGAATCCAAAGAACAGCCAGCAGAATCTAACAGATTATAAACTGTATCTTCTGACCTTGCTCAGAGCTTTATTGTGACTTTCATCTTTATAATAGAGCCCAGCTTTGTTCATTCCTGATAATATTATCTACATCATCCCTATGTATCCTTTTGTATACATATCGAACTCCCTGCTGTTCCTGAACAATCCAGGCATACTCCTCCTCAGGGACTTTACATTTCTGTATCCCTTCTTGGGAATGCTCTTGAGTTAATAGCTGCTTGCCTTTATCCTGCATATACTTTGAGTCTTTGCACAAATGTTACCTTGTATGTCGGGCCCATCCTGACCTTCATATTTAAAGTTGCAACTCCACTTCCCTATTTATGAACCTCCTTTTCCTGCCTACATTTTAAAATAATACTTACTGTCTTTAATATTTGATATCATTTACTTAGAGTTTCTGTCTTCCTCTTCTTTACTAAAATATAAACTCTTCAAGGCATGAATTCTGCCTTTTCATATTTGTGTGTGTGTATAAATATATGTATTTAAACTAAAACAGAGTCAGATCCACAGAATTCTAATATTTGTTGAGTGAATGAATAAACTACATTGAGGTGATACTACTTTTTTTAAAAAAAATGTTTTATTGTGAATTATATGATAGTTTACATGGGACAACATTAGTTTTACATTCATTCTATCGTATATCGTTTCATTGCCATGGTTAAAATCCCCTCCACTCCCCCAGTCTTCAGCACACAGTCGCTCTCCCTCTCTGGATCTAAAGTCTCCAGCTGCTCCATCAATCCACGTCATCGTCTCTGCCTCCATCTCAGGCATTGCTGCTTCTCTGGGTAGGGTCCCACTCTCGGCTCTTCTCCATTGATGGTCCTAGGGACCTCCGCTTCTAGACTGGAAAGTTAATCACTCCCTTCCTTGCTGTAAAACGTCTACCTTTACATTTCCAACCCTCACAATCAGTCCTGATAACAATCATTCACTATTGTATCACAAGAGACCCATCTGCATTTCATTTCATCAGCTCCGCCTAGACAGATTGGATACTTCTCAGTGGAGATTCTACCTTCCTCCAGGCCACCTGGCTCTAGCTCTAGGTTCCCTCTTGAAAGCTTGTAAGCCAGTAACTTCTTGCCTTTGTAGCCCCCCACCCCCATTTTGGGTAGCCAATGTCCAAGTTGCCCAAAGGTGATATTACTTTTAAAGAGCTCAAACTTAGGTTTAGAATAATCCCATGTGATATAGCAAAGAAATGTAGATGATCATTCTACTTACAAAATTAATTGATCTAGACTGTTTGTCTTCCTCCAGATTCATCGAAACAAGAACAAATGGAAATTCTATTTGAAAGATGGTGTTATGTGTTTTGGAGGGAAAGACTATGTATTTGCAAAAGCTATTGGTGATGCAGAGTGGTAAATCTTAATGAGCGCAATACATCAACTTTGTAAATCAGTGAGACTATATTACATGTTGTGAAACTTCACTTTTTTTAGAAAAAATATAGTCCAGTACATAACTGCTCAAATTTTTTGTTCAGTGTACAGAATTGAATAAAGTTATAATTTATAAGATGCAGATACAAATGTGCATTTTTATGTGTTTACTGTTTTTTAACTTTTGAAAAAGTTTAGCTGTCATTATTTTTTGCCCTTACCAAACACAAATGCATTGGGTATAATAGAGCATGAAGAGATGTCACATTTCTTTATTCTTCATGTTAAAATTTAAGTCAGACTCCAAATACCCTTAGTGGTAAAGGCAGTATTTATTATTAGATTGGGAACAATGCCCCCTACTCCTCTCCCCAAATCATATTACACAAGGTCCTAGAGAGTCTTATTAGTGGTGGGGTATTTTGAAGACCGAGTCTTCAGTCACTGGTCACTGGCGATATGCTGATTGTACAAGTCTAGATGGTGCCTTGGAAGCAGGTGGCTCCACTGTCTGTGCGCTATATTTGAATCTGAAAATCTTTGCTGAGGCCAGATTATCAGCCTCTCCACACTTATGACTAAATCATACCTCTTCTAATCCTGGGGAATTGTGAGGGAACAGGTTAGGTTCTTGCTCTAATTCTTGACACTGAAGAGTAGAATTGTGTCTTCTTCCAAGTCATGATGGGTTTTTCTTCTCTTCCTATATATATACATTTTTTTTTTGTTTTGTTGTTTTCTCCCAATTTTTTCTTGCAGTGGAAAATCTATTTAAAACTCTTTGTCTCAAAGGCACAATGTTTCTTCCTATTCCCTAATGTAATCCCCTTGTATAGTTTAGGCCTTGTGAAACAGAAGTCAAGAAGATACTCTATTTGGGAACCTTCTACTTTGGCCTGGAAATTTCAATGAGGCAGGAAAACCTGGATACTGCCTTGAAATCAGGAGAGAAATCAAAACATTATAAAGAGCTGTCATTTTCTTCTAGTAACCCAAACAAAGCAAATTAATATTCTAATAAGTTATTCTGAAATATTCTCTTCTTTAGTAGATCTTCAGATCCCTCAAAGAAACATTTTCCCATCACTCTGCTTCTCTTAGGAGTTGGGGTACACATGGCCTCTAACTCTGGGAGCCTTGGGTTCATCCTTGAATGATTCTCTCCAGGGCAGTAACTCTCATACCAAAAATAGTGCTGAGATGAAAGGGTTATGGGCTGTGAAAGCTTCCTAAGGATTAGTTAGATAGATTTGGCTGGGCACAAAATTTCTCATTTATTTTGTGAAGCAATCCCACTTGGATTGTTGAGTGTATTCTAACATTTGTTCCATTCTTTCCAAGGGATTCAATTACTGGTAGACCTTTTCAGAAACTAGAAAACTGTTTTCTGGGCTTTGGACAATATGGGTTAGGTGTTGTCTTTAGCCACAGCTGCATGAGGATTAAATGAGTACTAACCAGTATAGTTAGTCCTGACAGGTAGTCCTCGTGTGGCATTGAGGGTTAATGAGCTGGACTGCAAAGTCAGTTTGAACCAGAAGGTCAGTGGTTCACACTCGCTAGTCGCTCCGCGGAAACCCTCGCTGTGGGTCAAAACCCACAGTGTGGGTACAGCACTTAACAACAACAGTATAGTGGAGTTCTGATGTGGTGCAGTAGATAGGCACTGGACTGCTAACCACAAGTTTGACAGTTTCAACCCACCAGCTGCTCCTCAGAAACCGTATGTAGGGTCGCTGTGGGTCAAAATCAACCTGACAGCACTTAACAGCAACAACGGTATAGTGGAGTTTTGGTGCGGTGCTGTAGATAAGCACTGGACTGCTAACCACAAGTTTGGCAGTTTAAACCCACCAGCTGCTCCTTTGAAATCCTATGCAGGGTTGCTGTGAGTCACAACAGACTTCATGGAACTTAACAACAACCACAGCTAGTATAGTAAGTGTACTGTTTCCCTAACCAGATACGCTAGCTATGTCCTCTTCATTCTCATAGTGATTATTCTCCATACCGCCGCTGCTATTTCTCATCCTTCCCTGACTCTTGAGAATTCCCAGGACCTATTGATTCTCTTTCAGGGTGTCACCTACCATAAAATACCCATTTTCTTTACATGGACAGTGAAATGAAGGCACTGCTTATTATTTCTTCTTGAATTGTATCTTCTCTAGGGCTCAGGTGTGTACTTTCCAATTGTCCTGCTCTCCTCCTGCAGTCCTACCAGTCATTCTGCATTTGCTCTGGGGTAAACCATACTGCCAATTAAGAGCTGAATTTATATTGGCATGTGTTGCAGACCGTGTAGAAGTTCGAGGCCCACTGGGCCCGAGTGTTGTTGACTATACAGGCCACAGGCTCTGAGGAAAAAATTCTGGCCACTGGCAGTCATAACAAATTGTTTTTCATCTTAGTGTTCAGTTATGTTTTTTATTTAATTCCAAACATGAGCCCTTAATGTCCACAGATAAATGTAGTATTTTCCTAAAGCCGAAGACTATAAAGGTTTCAAAGGTCAAGCCTTTCTCCAAAGGATTAACTGAAAATAGTTTAGCTACTTCACAGGTCTTTGTTCTATAGACAAAAAAGCCATCTTCCCTAAATCTGTCCCAGGTGTTAGCTTTTCAGCCAAGTTCCTGAAAACCTGGCTCAGGAAGCCAAAACAGCAGGACTCCACCCAAGCCTTTTGTCCTTCCCTTTCACCTTGCCCCAACTGAGCTCAGGGGCTATAGATATTTTAATTGAGTCTGAGAAACCAAGTTGTGGGCCTGGGATTCGAACCAGCAAAGTACGATGTAAAGTTACCTGAATGTCTGGAAAATTACTTATGTTAGCTGTACCTTGTCTTAGTCCCTCCCAGCTTGGTGTGAAGCTCCTCCCCTAAATAAAACTGAGATGCAGGCCTGCCTAGGGGTGCATTAGGGGTTGGAGGGCATGCAGTAAAGATTGCAGGGCAGTGAGTTGCTGCCTGCAGAGGCCACGATGCCTGTAGTCCCAAGTCTGCTCACTAGTGATGCATCCACCCTGGTTTCGGGGTGCCTTTGTCCCCCTCCTTCTGTCTATCTGTGTATTCTTCCGCTATCCCTATTGCCGCTGGATCTCTCCTCCTCGTGAACCAAACACTTGTGAACAACACAACTATGTCGAGGACAGTCCCCGACAGGCATGGGTGCACTTACCTGGGTTTAATGTCTTGGCTCAAGTGACTGGGAAAGGCAATATTAGTTGTAAAATCCTTTTCTCTTTTCCTCTTGTGAATTTTTAACTTATTTTATTCCAGTGATATATTTTTTTTATATTATAAATACAATGACTATATTGTTGTTTTTGTTAAATGCTGTCGAGTCAGTTCCAAGTCATAGTGACCCTGTACAGACTTTCTGAAGAGTGGCTGGTGAATTTGAGCCACTGACCTTTCAGTTCAAACCAACCTTGCGGTCCAGTGCTGATCCTACAGTGCCACATCAGACCTCTTTATTTAGGTGGTACATTTTATCATAAAAGTAGAAATTCATGTTTATTTTATTGTGTCTATGCACAATTTCATGCCCCTGAGCTTTTAAAGAGGCAAAATACTCAAAAGTGGACTTATCAAAAACAAAACATAGTCTAAAACTAATCATTCTTGCATGCCAATTAATATAACTGATGATAGGTTTGGTGGTGACTACAGAGAGAATGAAGATGTTCCCAGATTATTTTGCACCTGATGCTCTTTTGTTAGTCTCAAATAATCCTAGAAACAATTTTAGTTCTTAAGAAGTTTCCTTGTTGTTTAGCGCCACCGAATCAGTTCCAACTCATAGCAACCCTGTATAGGGTTTCCAAGGAGCGGCTGGTGAGTTTGAACCACTGACCTTGAGGTTCAAACCAATCTGATGGTTCAGTACTTTATCCTACAGTGCCACACCAAAACAATTGCCTAGACCAATAGTTTCCAAAAAAGTAGCCATACTAAGAAACACACCCAAACAGTCCAGTATATATTTGCATGTATGTGCACAAACATCACACAACCAAAACGAAAGTTTTAGAAAATCATGTTTGGTTTTAGCACATAATGCTCTACTACACTTTCTATTAGAATCTGTTCTATTTCATTAAGGAAAAATTAATGGTCTGACCTAATAAATTGATATCACTACCTATTGAGGGATCATGACCCACAGTTAAAAACAATATTTGTTGCCCATGTGCTAAAAATAGGAATAATCCATTCATTTTCAAAGAATCCTTTAAATTCGATAAATCAGGGGATTTCCCTGAGACTTGGGTTTGATAACATGTTTCTTCTACTCTTAGGAACCTCTTCATGTCCAAACTAAAAATTTCCTGTTGCCAGCACACACAACTCCTCTCCCTCTCTGGGTCTAGAGTCCCCAGTCTGTCTCCATCTCTGGCATCACTGTTGCTCTGGATAGGGTCTTGCACTCCACTCTTTTGATGGTCCCAAGGACCTCCACTCCTAGACTGCATATTCAATCACTCACCTCCTTTTGCTACAAAACGTCCACCTTTACATTTCCAACTCTCACAATCAGCCCTGGTAACAATTATTCACCATTGTATCACAAGAGACCTAACCTCATTTCCTTTCATCAGCCCCGCCCAGACAGATTGGATATTATTCAGTGGAGATTCTACCTTCCTCTGCTCCCTCTGGATCTAGGCTCCCACTTGAAAGTTTGTAATCCAGTCACTTCTTGCTTTTGTAGACCCCCCCATTTTGGATAGCTAATGTCCAAGTTGCCCATCCCTATCTACTCTGTGTATGGAGGGGGTGGGAATGATCCTCTCTGTAAAGATCCTATATCCTTTTATAGGTGGAGAAAGCATGTAGTCCAGAGGCAAGGGGCAAATGGCCTGAGATGTGAGTGTAGCAGTAATAACGCAAAATAAAGAACCAATGTGGAAGACAGTTGAAAGAAAAAATGGGTAGGTCTTAGTGACTGAAAGGGTATGGGAGTGGAAATGATAGAGCTAATA